GTCTAGCAACCTTTTTGCCTCCGCCCACCAGAGTTCTGGGATTACAGATATAGACCACCATATTCATTGTCGAGTAACAATCTCAGTTAGTGACATCTCTTAGTTTGTGACACAACCATTGTGGTAGGCTAATGACTAGGATTTTTAGAAGTGTCAGAAAATGATGGAAACTAAGTCAGTGAAGGAGACACAAGTATGATGACACGCCAGTGTGAGCTTTGAAAGTGCAGGAGGAAACTGCCAAGGAATGCAGGTGGCCTCTCACCAGTGGCAGAGCAAGGAGACAGAGCTTCCAGGAGGGGCCAGACCTAATTTTAGCCCCATGAGATTCACTTTGGACTTCTGACCTTCAGAACTATTAACTAATTCATTTGACTACTAGGTGTTTGGCATTTGTTGCAACAGCAACAGGGAACTAATATCACTGTGAACCAATCTCCAAATTTAGAGATCTGAACACTCTTCTCTTTGATTTTCCATTTCTAAGCCCACTGTGTCTTACTGTTCTGTTTTAAAATATCTTCTTTATTCTCCCACCACTACTGCTTCAAATTCTCTTAACTTTCCTCGATAGTTCTGATATCAAAAGGTGACAGAGCTTGGGGAAGCTGGTCTGAGAATTATTTCTCCCCTCAGAACGATTATAAATACACGTATATAAGCTAAGCAAGCACATCATGCCTGCTGTACAAATGCGATTTCAAGTAATTCATCTAATCATTTCTCTTTTCTGCTAACTAGTTTTCCTGCTGCTATCCCAGTCTGCCTTCCCACAATTTGGTCTTCAAATAAGGAATGGCAGGCAAATCTTTCCACTGTACAAGTTTGACCTTCACTGATGTTAGTTTCAAATTCCTCAATATGATCTACAAAGTCTTTCAAGGTTTTACTTCTAGTCATTTCATGCTACTACTGGATTCTCACCTCACTTTCTAGCTACTTATTAAACTTACAGTTGTTGGATACATCTGTTTCCTTTGGTTTTAGTCATACTCCCCGCGTACTTACATTTTTTCAAAGGAAAGGAGAAAAACTCTCTCATCTTTTAAAGATCAATTTAAGGATGAGGAAGGGAAGAAAAGGGGAATGTAAAAAGAATTAAGATGTTTATGTGCATGTATCAATTCCCCACAATGAATGTAATCACTATGTATTGCAAACATATTAATAAATATAAAAATAAATCAGTTTAAGATACTTTTAAGGCGCCTTTTCAGATATTCTCTCTAGTTTCCATTTATGCTGTGTTTCCATGTGCTTCTATTTTCATGCTTTACAATGTAACCAAGGTTTATTTTGTACATCTATGTTTCATTATTATGCAAGCCCTTCAAAACCTGGAAATATGTCTTGATTTTTACATCTCTAAAAATAGCATAATGCCCAATATTTAGGAAATGCTCAATAAATGATTATTACTGTAACCAATGACATCTCTCTTAAACTACTTACAATCTGTTACATGGTGACATCTTAATATTTCTTGTAGGTTTGTTATAAAAAAGGAGCAAACAAGTTCTTCCTCTATTTCTACCTCAGAGGCCGTGCAATACTTAATCATTATAGTAAGGAAATTATCAAACTGTATTATATACAAGAGTGACCAAAGTATGTTCTTTAGCAATAAAGGACAGATAGGAGGCAAATTAAGGTAATTATTATGAATACATGATAGTCATGTTCAAATATTGGAGAGTGTTTTGTGTAGAAGAGAGGGAAAGGAGCCTTTCTTTATAGCTATAGGGGTGAAACTGGAGAAACCGAGACAGATATCAGCGTACTATGATGAGGAAGAAACAAAGCAGTGTCACAATCCACCCCACGGAATCTTCAACGAGCACTTGCTGTGTGTCTGGCATAGTTCTAGACATTGAAGGCAAGTAGCAGCCAAGGTTCCCTCTCTCATGGAATTTCCTTGTAGTGAAAGATAGTGAACAGATGAGTCAATAAAAAAATGAACAGCAAATAAGATCATCAATCAGTGCTGTGCAGAAAATGAAACTATAAGACTGTGATTATGATGGAGTGACCTCTATAGACCGGGTGACTAGAGAGGGCCTCTCGGAGAGGATGGTATTTACACTGTAATGTCGCTGATGAAAGGAGCTAGCCACAGGCAGATCCAAGGGAAGAGATTTTCAGCACACATGAACAGCTACGATAAGACCTCAAGGCAGGAATAAAACTTAAAAAGTGTCCAAGAAACAGAAATGTCTGTGAGACTGGAATATAAAGATCAAAGAGAGTAACATGAGACTTTGTCTGTGAGAAATACTGAGAAATACTCATTAGTTTTATCAAAAGGGGTAATATTTGATACTATTTGTACTAGAGAAACTGGAGGGTTTTAAGCATGGGTGATGTGAGCTATTTTATACTTTTCAAAGGTCATGCTGATGTCCAAGTCAAAAATAGGTTTTAGGGATGGGGAAGACTTTTAGAATCTACTGCCATTATCTAGGCTTTGCCTAGACTAGAAATGAAGAGATGAAAAGGAGTGAGCTAATTGGATATGTTCTAGAGATAAGGTCTAGCTGATGTGTAGGTGAAGGAAAGAAAAGAATCAAGAATAACTGCAGGATTATTGCCCAGAGCAAGAGAAACTGGGGCTTACAGACTGCAGGCAAAGGGAAGGAAGCGTTGGGTCAGTGTTGTGTTTTGTTTCTGCTGAGGTTGAGACGCATGTGGCAAGGTCAGGTAGACAGTAGGAGCAGTCTGGAGCTAAGAGGAGAGGCCGGGGATGTGGATAAAGATCTGAAAGCCACTTGCATATACATAAAGTACTGAGATAGGGTAACTCTTCGGAAAGTGCTCATCTGGGAAACAGAAGGAGTCCAGACAAAGGACCGGGGTTTATCTCAGGAAAGAGTTAACTGGCTGCTACCAGAGTTGTTCAAGAAGGGACCAGTGAGCATCAGCCAGAGATACCTTGCAAGAGGCTGCTACCCTGAATAAATATTTGCCAATGAATTCTCAGACTCCATTCAAATCTAAAATGCTATGATTCCGAAAGATTCAAATTATGCTGTGGTATGGAGAAGTGGCCCATTATGAATTTTACCTTGTGAGTATATCCAAGTCAAAATTTATTGACTTTGAAAGAGTCCCATAAGGTGATTGTTAAAGGGGCCTGGGAATTCATGGAGCTTTCCTTGAAGGACTTGCCAAGCATGTGTGAGGTCCTGGTTTCATACTAGGTACCCATCCTCTGCTCCAAAGGTGGTTAATGACCTTTTCTCATGTTCCACTTTTTATTTCATTCATTTTTTCATTCAGATTTCCTTCTCCTGCTCCATACTTAATTCTTTTAATTTTCTCTGTCTTTCCCATGGGCTTGCCAAGGTTACATATACCCATTACTTATCCCAGCTAGTGATATTTGGCTTTAGAAACCGCTAACCTCTGCTGCAGTTACACATATCATGATTACTTAAAACAACAAAAGTACTATTTGGAAGTTTTATTTATTAATAGTTTCAAACCACAGCCATCAGTCCATGTACTTGTGTAATCATAAAATAATACAATCCGTTGGTTCTCCAATAGCACAATGATATTTAATTAAGAAAATTCTGTCTCAGGTAGAACCTAAGCGGTCTAATCTTTATCTGATCCAATCTACACTGTTTTTCTTTGCATACCTGTATCTACATTGTTCATAGTACATTTGCTGTGCACCTAGTAAGGTGATGAATAAATATTTTATTGAACTAGTGAACAAATGTGCGTGCTTTCTAATTATACTAACACCTAAAACCAAAGAATAAATTGGACATAGTATGGACTAGGTAACGTGAGAATGTATATTACAGATGCTATAAAGAGGCCACAAGGGAGATTTTATTTTCATGAGATCCTCAGTGGTAGTCAGTAGGTAGCTGGATAGGTGAAGACTATGTAAAAATCTGACCTTATAACAGATTACATCAGGGACTTGTTTTCATTTCACTCAGATGTAGAGGATCAGAGTCAAATTTATCCATGTGTAACATACAAATTGAAACAATTGTGTTTAATAAATATTATTAAGTGATATATTATTCAGAATATATTCTCAATTGTGCTTTGAAAGTTTATCAAAAGAAGAAATAGCAGTATTACATAAAACAAAGTACCTACAGAGAAATCTGCATTTTCTAACACTGCTTTACATTTAGCATTGACATGTAAACTATTATAGAAAAGAACCACCAATAATGTCTTGGTACATGGTAATGTACCTATGGGTAACATTCAGTGAATACGCCGTGATGGGATAAAGGGCTGAACAAATGGTAATTAAGATTTCTGACTACATATAGCCACTATACATATTAGTTGTAAAAAGAAGTATTGTAATCTCCTAAAAATAACTTTTTTTCTTATGGTAAAAACATATTGTTACAGATAACTGAATTAGGTAGAAATATAGGCAGATAGGGCTAGGTCCTCCAAGGAACCAGTGCAGAAGCTCAGATACTTTGCAGTGGTGGGGGAGCCAGACACCTCCTGCTGTGGGCCAGCCCTCAAGACAAAAGATCAAACAAATGCACCCACATCCTAAGGATGGATATCCTAAATAGGTCTCTGTCACCCTGAAAAAGCCAGGAGTCACCATTCCAACTCCTAAGGGAAGAGTCACTGCTCTTTAAGCATGCCCCTTGCTGGGACTGGCTTCTCCATTTGTTCCTGATTTGATCAGTTTTACCTGAGCAATTAATCTTATTGATTGACCATAGTTCTGTCCCACTTTATGCCCACCTTGCAAGTTCCCAGGTTTTCCCAACTTGGACTTTCTCATTTTGTAGTTTTACTCTATAAAAGTCCCTAGAAAAGACACCTTTGGCAACCCACAGGAGACTTTTCTGTCTTTCAGACAGAAACTTTCTTTCTCTCAATAAACAGGATCTTAACCTCTGTTGTTCCTAAAATCCATTCTTCTATTCTAGAGAACACAGACTTGTACCGGATGTATAGTAGGTTGGGAGTTTCATTCCCCTATATCAGTATAAGAGTATTACCTCCATATCAGAGCCAGGTGATAATCTTTGTCTGGAAGATAGTCATTTGTCTTCTTGAGAATCAGTTCCACAAAATCAGGATTACCTTTTCTGACAAAAACCCAGTACAAAATCGTATTCACACATATTTCAGTAAATTCGTGATAAAAACTTTGTTCAAAACAGTATCTTGATTTTTCCACAAATGCAATATAATCTGCAAGAAGCAAGTCAAAGCCATTCAAGTCGATCGACCTCAGGATTTTTGCCAGTGTTCTGTAAATCCTAGGTTCGTAACAGTGGTATCCCCACTGACCCAAAAATTGCAAGGAGGGTTTCTTAATAATTTTTTCAATGAGATGGCAGAACAAGTTGTCATAAGAAGTCTTATGACATAATTTGAAGTGTTTACTCATGGCTTCTTAAGGCATCAGCAATAAATAAAATCACAGGTAGTTGTGTAGTAATCCTTCAGTTTCATTTTTTAGATAACATGGTAGGCTTTACTCTCAAACAAAGTGCCCTTTAAACTGTAGCCTACAAAGTCTGACATGAAACATTATCATAAAGTTCTGGATGACATAACAATAGATGCAGTTTAGTCATCAGCTTGGGTTTTGGTATATAACTGGTGACATTTGAGAGAGACATACAGGACAGAAATGGCCTTTGGGACAGCCCTGATGTTATTTATGGTTGATGCCTATGTTCTTCCCCTGCTTTTTGTTCTGGCTGCTTTTGCTGGCTACTGCCTTGAAGCATTGCCCTGCCACCCTGCCTTGGAGCCAGCTGATTATGCACAGAAACCTCCACAAAAAATGAGCTAAATAAACCTTTTCTTCTTTCATTTTAGGTGTTGGATATTTTGTCTCAGCAATGAGAGAAAAGTAACCAAGACATAAGATATAGTATTTTTTAACTTTCCAAGAATTCAGTTCAAGCTATCTGTATGTTTCTCAAGTGCTAAAATCACAGTCTATGCATAACTGGGCTAAATAATATGAACATACATTTATTACTTCTTGTACGCTATCATGTAAACAAGTAGATAACCAAGTACCATTTTTCTCACATTGTGCATGAATTCCCGCCTATTCTCCTCTAATCCTCATAGGTTATTTCTCCTGTTTCACACTGAGGTGCATCAGATTGATGAAGTAATTTGCCATTTGGCACTATATTCATCTTTCTGAAAACCAAGTGTTGTATTGTTTCTCTACTTTCCTTCTTGTTTTCGTATTTTTCACCTCGAAAGTGTATTTTTAAAATTTTTAATGATTTCTTACTAGTATAATACACAATTATGTTTAACAATTGAAGCATTGTAGAGTGGGTAGAAATCCTCCCCTGAGATAATCATGTTGGCAATTCTATGTATAACCTTTCAAATATTTTTGTTCTTTTGTATAGATGTAAATAGATACATTATTATATACTTTTTAGTTTATACAAATGGGTTAAAATTACACTTAGTTAATTCTATGAGTTGCTTTTTATTTATGTAACAGTATATTTGGGACATCTTCACATACCATATATAATAATAGCTTTTACATACCACTTGTATACCAGGCACTGTTTAAAGTGTTTCGTATATAACACCTTTAATATTTATGATTCTCCAAAGATACAGAAGTTGAGGTATAGCATTTCTTGGGAAAGAGTGTACTCCAACATTTTGGGGCTAGAGTGTTCATCTCTAGTCTCTTGCTTCTCCAACAATTGAGAGCTATTTTTTCACATTTATAGCTAATTTATGAATACAGGTTCTGAAATAAGAGCTCTACAATTATATATGAACAAAACAGAAGATAAACATATGGTAGAATAATCCTATTACCAAATAAGAATGTTCCAGGATATATATTAAAATAATAATAATAATAGTATAAATCTCTGTGTTATTTAAGTGAGTTATTTTCCCATTTTCCTTTATAATTTTCTTTTTAATCTGAATGTAACTATATATTTTATGTAATCAGAAGGAAGCAAATCATATTCATTTTGAATATAATAACCAAAATGTAATGTCTATTGGTGCTGCACTAGTTCTTTAACTTAAAAAAAATATAGTCACTACTGATGATAAAGTTAGAAAATATATTTATTTTAGACAATTTACAGGTTAATAATAATAGTTAAGATATATTGAGTTCTTTATGTACTTACTAGGCAAGTACTTTATTTGCCTTTTTTCATAATTCTCTACTATGATCTCCATTTTATAATTAAAGAAGGTGGCGTTTCGGTGGGTTAAACCAATAGTCAGAGGTCGTACAGCCAGTGAGTAGCAGTGATTGAACTGTTGTGTTCCTTACCTTTGTGCATAGCTCCCTTCATATTATGTTGCTCTATGACATTTGCCCAAAGCAGAGCTTGTGCATCTCCTGGTCATGTAAAGACCCCCGCAAAATCCTTAGAAGGGCACTGCAAATATATTCAACAGCTTTAAGAAATACTCTGATTTAAAAATGTTATATACATGTTTCAAATATTTTATACTAATGAGAAATAGCAAGTTTTAAATTTTTTTTTTCAGTTTTTAAGATTGAATAACCTAGACATAGATTTTGTGTTGGCCTTTGAGGTCTAGATGTTATCTAGAAGATCCGTACTTGAAACTATCATTACTCATTCATCCTTGAGATAATTAATTATTTTTAGATGCCTAAATCTATAACCTGGCTGACCCAGTACAGCTACATTTAGGTAGCAATGAAGCATATCAGAAAAACCTCAAAGCAATAGTTAAAGGATTGGGAAAACATAAATGGTGCAACAAGACATCCCTGTACAACTGAGAGGGTTCCCAACTATGGAGAGCTGTAAGGACAAAAAACTGGCTGGGTACTTCTCCAGAAATGAATTTAATAGGTAAAAGGTGAGAGACAGGATTGTATAGTCTCGACAAACTACAGAATAAATGTCAGCACATAAGAATATCCTTTTGATGAGTTTTGGCAACAGAGTTTTTGCATAATTATATAAAATTATAAAGTTTGCAGAAATCCTGCCTACTCTATCATTACATTAATTAGCCCTTTCTCCAGGCTTTGCCATTTCCATACCATTCATCTCTAATATTGATTTACATATTTAAATGAAGATTAAAAAGTTATAGTGTAATTGAGAGAAAAAGGGACTTCCTGACTTATTAAGTATGTGTAGGACCAATGTATATTTCCAAAGGCAAAAGGGAAATTAAGGGTATTTGATATAATGCCTTCATTGTATTTTAATAATTCTGTATCAAAATTGAAGACAATCCAGGAGAACTGTGGAGTTTTAAGCAAGCAGGCGGGTGCCCACTTTCCCTGGAGCCCAACTTGTTTGGGACCCTCGTACCTTCTGGATGCACAGGAACAGCTAGGCAGGTCTGGGGCACCTGCATCTGCCTCTCCATGTGCTTGGAGGACTGTGGAGTTCTAAGCAAGCAGGTGAGTGCCACCGGTTCCAGATGCCCAGTGTCCTGGGGTAAGTGCCCTGCTCACTTTCCCCCAAGCCCAGCTTGTTTGGGACCCTTAAGCCTTCTGGGTGCACTGGAACAGCTAGGCAGATCTGGGGCACCTGCGTCTGCCTCCCTGTTCCAGCTGTGCTTGGAGAATTGTGGAATTCTAAGCAAGCAGGCAGGTGCTCACTTTCCCCAGAGCCCAGCTTGTTTGGGACCCTCACACCTTCTGGGTACACTGGAACAGCTAGGTGGGTCTGGGGCACCTGCATCCACCTCCCCCTGTGTTAGAGGACTGTGGAGTTCTAAGCAAGCAGGCGAGCCACCAGTTCCAGAGGCCTGGCAGACTGGATGAACTGGGTGCCAGAGTCCCAGGAGCTGAGAGCATAGAAGTGGATTTCCAACAGATACTGAGGAAGCTTTCGAATAACACTTGAAACACTTGAAACACAGAAATATAGGGAAATGACAAAATGAAAGACCAAATTACAATCTCAAACCTCCATGTGATCCCAAGAAAACTTAGGGGTGATGTATATAGAAGAAAATATATGCCATACACCTCAAATATCAGACATAATAGCAACTGAAATAAACAAGCAACTCCGGGAAGCTTTAAAGGAATTCAAACTAGAAATAATCTCCCAGGTAAAAGAAGAAATGATAAAAGAAATGAAAGAGATGCTGAATATATCTAAAGAAAACACAGTTTAAAAATTGGAGGAACTAAACAAAAAGATAGAATCCCTAGATGAGCAATATAAGACACAAACAGAATACATAAAGCGGATGCACAGAGATATACAGGAAATCAAAAATTCCACTGAAAACTCTAAAAGCTGCCTCAACGAAAGTGAAGATAGAATTTCAGACCTCAAAGACAAGATTGCAGCTAGTGAACAGGAAAGGAAAGATCTTTTAAAAATAACAAAGACTCAGGAAATAACAATTCAACAACTGCAAGATGACACAAAGAAAAACAACATAATATTGATAAGGATTAAAGAAAAAGGGGACAACATAAAGGACATCAAGAGAGTATTTAGAGAAGTAATAGCTGAAAATTTTCCAAGCATGAGATTGAAACTGACATCAGGTTCAGTGAAGCATATAGAACTCCAAATAGTCATAACCAAAATAAAACTACACCCAGGCATATAATAATCACCATCCCAGAAATCCAACACAAGAATAGATTATTAAAAGCTGTCAGAGAGAAAAGACAGATCACTTTTAAAGGAAAACCTATCAGAATCACAGAAGACTTCTCAGCACAAACAATAAGGTCAAGAAGAGCATGGAGTGAAGTATTCCAGATTCTAAAGAAAAATGATTTCCAACCTAGACTGATGGACCCTGAAAAACTATCCTTCAAAATCAATGCAGAAATAAGATACTTCCATGACAAAGAACAGCTGAAGAACTTCATGAACACCAAGCCAACCCTGCAAAGAATACTGAATGACAGTTTAGATACACTTAGGAAAAAAACACTAAGCAAAGCAGACAAACAGAATGGAAAAATAAAGATGCAACAGCAGAAAGATAACATGTCAACAATAAATGAATATATGACAGTTATAACCATTAATGTAAAAGGTATCAATTCAACAATTAAAAGAAACAGACTGGCAGAATGGATCAAGAAACAAAATCCAATCATATGCTGTCTACAAGAAACCCATCTAACCGAGAAGGATACTTACAGACTGAAAGTCAAAGGATGGAAAAGAATACTTCATGCAGCAGGAACCACCCGCCCCCCAAAAAAGCAGGAGTAGCCATTCTGTTTGCAGAGAATGTGAACTTTAAACCAATAATGATCAGAAGACACAAAGAAGGTCACTACATACTCATTAGGGGAAAACTTCAAGAGGAAGAGATAACTATCTTAAATATATATGCACCAAATTCCAGAGCACCCAGTTATATAAAACAAGTATTAACAGAAATGAAAAATCAAATTATCAGTAACACAATTGTAATAGGAGACCTTAACACATCATTGACCCCAAAGGACAGATCAACCAGATATAAAATCAGCAAAGAAATAACAGAACTGAAT